CTTTTTTATGTCAAAATATGCATGAGTAAAATGTACAAAATAAATATCTTAATAGAACGCTGTGCACGCTGCTTTGTTTTATGTCTGAACGTAAAAAGCCAAAATATCTCCAAATTACCAAAGTTGAATGACCTTTTCTGTCGATGATGTCACCATCCTTCGAGCTGGTCGTTGGCAGCACTACATTTGCTTCAGGGTCGCTCATTTCTCCACTCTTCAATCCTGTCAGCCACCACCGTGTGGGTTAACAACACCACGTTAACTGCCCGGTCTGCAACATGCATGCGCACTTGCGCAGTATTTTGTGCGCATGCGCATATCGTGCGCAAAGCATAAACATATGTATCGAACATTTATCAAACTTTTGTTAAAATTATATCGAGAAAAATTATATCGCGATAATTATCGTTATCGAATTATCGCCCAGCATTACCATCTACTGTCTCCTCAAACAGTGTATTCTCATCGTGCTTATATTTTTGTTGTTGCTATCATGTAAAGCACTTTGAGAAGTCACCATTAAAGGTGCTATATAAAATAAAGTTTTTTATTATTATTATTATTATTGTTATTTTTGTTATTATTATTATTATTATTATTATTATTATTATTATTATTATTATTATTATTATTATTATTATTATAAAGGGATTGGTTTCCTGTCCTGTGTTTTTTAGGATCAGAGTCTAGTGATCTCCCTGATGCTGGGGAATGGGCTCCTCTTGAGCAGCAGCAGAGTGAGGAGGAGTGGGGCTCCAGTCTGATGCAAGAGACAGAGCTCACTGCTGCAGAAGGGAGAGAGACACTCAGTGAGAAGCACACTGAAAGCAGACAGAGTGTCAAGGATCTGGATTCTGTGCCCATGATGAAGACAGCCTGAGAGTGAGACACCTGGGCTCTTAGTATGTGATGATTTTACAGAGAAGATTAATAATCTGAACACAAACAACATTACACAAGGTTGTAATGAACTGGGCTGTGTCACTATACAAGAGCACAGTGAAGAACAGGATGTTTTAAATCTTCCAGAGCAAGACATGGAGCCCAAGTTGATTGACACTGCAGAGCAGCAGACTGATGTACTTGGTGAAGAGAACAGTATTGAGTCACAGCACACAGAGAAGAGTCAGGACAGGGAGGAACAACGGCAGCTCCAACAAGGCTTGATAATAATTAGGCCTTGTTCTGTTCAAGTGGACAGATTGTCATTGCAGAGTCTAAAACAATTATATGATCCCTTAGTATCTGATAACTTTACACACAGGTTTAATAATCTGGTTACTGAGAAAACTGTTGAAAGTTTTAATGAACTGGAGAGCATGTCTGTTCTTGGGCAAAGAGAGGAACAACTGAATGAGCTGGACAGTTTTAGTCTCAGAGAGCTGGAGAAGGAGCCCCAGATGATTCACACTGCTGAACAGCACACTGAAGGACATGGTCACAGAGCAAGACCATTCCATGGAGCATTTGCAGAATAAGAGACCCCAGCACAATCAGAGGATGAGGAAGAATCACTCAAGGCCTTGTTCAAATAGAGTGGATAAACTGCCATTACGGCACAGACAGGAGCGGAGTTTCTGTCAGTCTAGCATTTTGAATCCCTACCAGCACCTTCACACAGGAGAGAGACCATTCAGCTGCAGTCAGTGTGTGAAGAGATTTAGTCGGTTAAGCCACTTAATAAACCACCAGCGCATTCATATAGGAGAGAGACCTTTCAGCTGCAGTCACTGTGGGAAGAGTTTTAGTCAGTTAAGCTACTTAAAAAATCACCAGCACATTCACACAGGAGAGAGACCTTTCAGCTGCAGCCAGTGTGAGAAGAGTTTTAGTGATTCAAGTACTTTAAGATTCCACCAGCGTATTCATACAGGAGAGAGACCATTCAGCTGCAGTCAGTGTGGGAAGAGTTTTAGTCAGTTATGCAACTTAAAAAGCCACCAGCACATTCACGTAGGAGACAGACCATTCAGCTGCAGTCTGTGTGGGAAGAGTTTTAGTCGGTTAAGCCACTTAAAAAGACACCAGCACATTCACACAGGAGACTGAACATTCAGCTGCAGTCAGGGTGGGAAGAGCTTTAGTTAAGTACCTTAAGAGCCCACCAGCGCACTCACACAGGAGAGAGATCATTCAACTGCAGTCAGCGTGGAAATAGTTTTAGTGACTGAATCACCTGAAGAGCCCACATATTAGTATCACTTTATTGGCCATATACATTTTTTTGCATTAGGAATTTTCACAGGTTGCTCACCATGAGGCCCACAGATAGGGAGAGAAGCTTTGGGTCAGAGCACAGGGGGAGCCATTTGTACAGCACCCCTGGAGCAGTTAGAGTTTGGGGCTTTGCTCAGGTATCCAACAGAGTAGGATTCCTCAGTAAGCTTCAGGATTTGAACTAGCACCCACAGGCCCAGATCCTTAGCCATATTGCCACCACACCACCCTTATTCGTACAGCAGAGAGACCTTTTAGCTGCAATCAGTGTGGGAAGTGTTTTACTGACTCGTGTACCTTAATAGCCCACCAGCCCACTCACACAGAAGACCTTCATTGTTCACCAGTGCAGTCACACAGGCAAGAGTTCATTCAGCTACAGTCAGTGTGGGAAGAGTTTTATCCAGTCAGGTGACTTAAAAACACACCAATTTAGTCACCAGTTTTTATTTTAATCATAGTCTTAGTCCTGTCAATTGAAATGTCTATTAGTTGAAGTAGGTAGCTGCGTCATCATGTGACATCCGTAAAAGTTTCCACAGCTGACATATTGTTTTCTTTGTTCTTTTTTCAGAGGAATAAACCTTTACTTGTTCCTAAAATGTCTATTGGTCACTTTGTAGTCGGCCACTTTTGATTTAGTCAAGTCATCTAAACGTTGACTGATTACTCTAACTTATGGTTGATTAGAACAGAATTCTAGTCATGCAGTTTTCTTTATGTGTATAATAAAATGTAAGTCTAAATTGAATTCTTTATTCCTTTATAGTCTTGGAATGTTAAGTTTAGTCCTGTTTAATTTACAATCAAGACTGTTCTCATTGGATCGGCTTGTAATTGTGTAACAGCTTACCATGTTAAGCAAGAAATGTGTATAAAACAGATTAGGATTCTTAACTGTAACTCTTAAGAAAAAGAGACATCTTTGTTGCATAATCTAAATTTTATCAAACACAATAAATATTTATGCAATAAAGGGTAAATAATAAGGGATTGGAGAAATTGTATGAATCTCTCTTGATAAGAAAATCTTTTTTGGCACCATTACTAATAATTCCTTATTTTTATGGGGTTTTTTTCAGTGCAGCTTTTCTATAAGCAATATCTATACACTTTAACAGCCTCATAAACTAAGTGCAATTAAATATTATTTTATGATGCCCTCATATGAATATGATTCGTAGTTTCTGCATAGCCAGAACCTGTGTCATCACTACAAGTCACTAAATCTTTACAAAATACATGCTAGCAGACAGATACACTTCGGAGGATTTAAGGGGGGCTTGGTTGGAATGATAGTCTCCCCGTCTGGACATTAAAATGGAATTTTGTTAGAAAAAAATGGAGAAATGTGTACAAGGATTTTAAAAGCTGCACCACAGTTCGAATAGCATTTATATTAATGTTACACGCAGGAATTGCCTTTGATTTACACTCTTATGAATGCAATGAAAGACAAAATGACCAAAAAAATGAAGTCCTGCAGTTAAATATAATGTCATTGTGTGTCAAAGCAGTATCATACTTTATTCTACCACCGCGGCACTGGGCGTATATGGAAACGATCACACGCTATGAATCATCTTTAAGCAGTCCCTTTGACTTTCTGCTAATCACATTGAAGTGTTCACGAAGCATTTCCCTGCCCATGATGGGCCCGGAAACCGGTTTCTCCGTTTTCCTCTACCTGTCATTTTCAGCGAGCACAAGACGGGGAGAAAAGGAGACTAGCTGTCAGGAATGGGGTTTGAACCCAGGCCTCTATTTAGAGACCAGAACACCCAAACAATGGAAGGATATGAAACCTTGAGTCTAGCACCTTAAACCACTCAGCCATCCTGATGAGCTATATAAGGTGTTGTGTTGAAAGCACCAGTAGTTCACTAAACTGAGCAATGCTTTGCTGGAGAAGCGCCAAGTTGCCTGTTGTTGACTAAACGGATCGCGGAAATCAAATATTCAGATCGATTCAGAGTGTGCTTTACAGCCTTTGTGTAATATTTTGATCTGCTAGGGAGCAGTTGTCTTCACAATCTGAATTATCGCAAATGGAGTGACGTCAGTGTAAAACAGCTTGCATTTTTGGGAACAGACATTGTATTGCGTATTTCTAATTGGTTTATTTTCCTGATAGTATTGTATTTCCTGATGCATTGTGATGCATAAAAGCCAGCTGCATAAAGCTCTGTTACGCATCATTTATGACGGCTTTTCAAATAGCAGCCAGTGCAGGATCAAGACATACTCCTGGCTTCACACTCCGAACAACCAAGTCCTGCTTATTGTTGCTGAGGGTTGCGATTTGTTGCCCTGAAACGTCGCCGTTAAGTATCAGAATGTGTTATGCATTAAACACAACCCACAAGGAAATAAAGATTGTAGCGTGATTCGGGAAACTATTGGAGAGGTATGTTTTAGGTGCTCAGCTACCACGGTGGTGTAGCGGCGAGGCTTATTAATAAGGCAGAACTAAGTGTTTCTGAGCTTCCCAAATGAGGCCCCATTTCTCTGTTCATCTCTGTGGTGCAGCCACAGAGAAACCATTCATGCAAGATGTTTTCTTTTGATAAGGACAGCTCCCAAAGGGGGATG